CATTTTGACGAGGGACTATTTGGGACCTGTACCGAAGACTTGGTGTTGACGACATTCCCATCTTTCCCCTCTTCTTCGTCTGATCCCCTCCTCTTTGTCTGTGTATGGTCTGGGCCTGGCGCATTTCTTCCTGTGTGTAGTGCCAGGCCTTTCACACCTTGCAATGATGATGATGTGTGTTTAGTCTGCATTGCGACATTGATTGGGTTGATCATTGGTATTTTAGCCTTCCGCTGCGCTATCCTGTATTATGTGAGAGAGGTCGGTTCTTGGCTCTGGTCTGTACCATTACGGTATGCGACAGTTTGGTATCGGAGCAGACCTCTCAATCAGAGGATCTGCCCAATCAAAGAGCCTGCTTGAGTTATTGATCGATTGATAGTCTGATGATTGTTTGATTGATTGAATCAAGTAGGGCCCCGTTAAATCTCGGCAAAAAAAATATTCTTCTCGGAATTTTTTTTTCTCTAGCGACAAATATCCAAAAATTTCTGATATTAGCATCTCGTTTTTTTTTTCTTTCTTTTGCAGCAAATATCAGGAAATTTCTGATTTTAGCATTTCGTTTTCTGGGCATATTAGGTTGACGGTGGAGTTGTAATTTTCTCGGAAACTGGATTTATTCTTTTCTGAAAATGGAATCTCCATTCTATCTCGCAATTTTTTTTTTCAAGATCGCAAATTTTTTTTGAATGCCGAAACTTTGCGAAACCTTGCCTAGATCTCACTCATAGCACTCCTACGTAATGCCTCACTGATATCAAATCGACAGATTTCAAAAAAAAAAAAAAAAAAAAAAGGGGATCCTCTTCTTTTATTTTTTTATATATTATTCTGTTGATTAGGACCGGGACTGGAAAGTGCAGTTTGGTTACCTTCCTGCGTTTCCCTCCCACCCAGTCCTTTGCCTGCATTCCGGGTTTGGTAAGTGTCACGTCAGCAGCAGTGCCACGTCAGCAGTGCCACGACAGTAGCAGTGCCACGTCAGCAGCAGTACCAACGTCCGCAGTGCCCCGCCACCATGACGGGTTCATCATTGGGCATGACAGGCGAATTGGCCGGCTAGTCCATTGACGAGTACCATCAGCGGTTTTTAGCCCAGCTCGCACTGGTCGAGGCTGAGGTACAGCGCCAGGCGGCAGCCGAGACAGCCCGCCTACAGGCTGAAGCAGAGGCAGCAGCTGAAAAGCAGCGGCTTCAGGCCGAAGCAGAAGCAGATGCCCAGGCCCTCCGCAATGAGGCCCAGGAGCTGCTGCAGCGGCACAAAGTCACCAGCATCGACAAGCTCAAGTTCTTGCATTTTGAACCATCCGCCGGCCACAATGACGCAACACCAGAACAGCAGCACAAGGAGTTCCTCTCCAAACTCGTGACCCGGTTGGTTTACACTTGTAACCACCTGCAGTCTGAGTTAGAGAAACAACACCAGGAACAGGCGAAACAACACTAGGAACTGGCAAAACAACACCAGGAACTGGCGAATCTTCCAACGGGCGGTGCCGAACGACAAGGATCTGCACGAGGATGCTACACGGGCACTTAATTCCCGTGTACAGGACTTGGAGCAAGCCACACCAAGACCAGATGCTGGCGAGTCCAACAGTGCACCCTCAACCCGCCATGCAGTCGCACCACGAGTCGACCATGCAGTCGCAATGCTCGGCGACATCAGCACCTTCGCCGCACCAGCCACCATCAGCGAGCAGCTCGGCACCTTGCAGACCGAACTCAGGCAGCTGGACCAGCCGCCCGACAACGATCGCAGCACCAGTGCATCAAAGCACTACAAGATGCCGACATTCCGGATCGAGAAGTTTGACGACTATACGCATCAGGACCCAGTTGTCTGATGGGACGGTTTTACAACGGAGCTTGGGATTCACGAGGTCCCCGAATACTTGTTCATCTTGGCGTTGTTCCTCAACGTCAAGGGCGGATGCCAGATCTGGCTCAGCCACATGGCAACCATCTATGGCGTCCAGGTCAACCATCTATACAAGAAGATCTCCTGGGAAGATCTGACGAGAGAATGGAAGAAGCAGTTCATCGTTGACGACGCTCTGACGCTAGCCATCAACCGCCTCTTCACCATGAGCCAAGGCAACACACCGACACGAGATTGGCTCACGGAATGGCAAAAGATCGTGGCAACGCCTGATCTCCAGTTGCCATTTTTGCATCTGCGTCGAGAGTTGTACAACCGGTCGTGTGCCGCCTTGAGCCTCGCACTTGGCGATCGCGAGCAGTACACGACCTTTGCCGAAATCATCGACAAGGCGCGAGAGATCATCAAGACCAACTGGGCTGCTGCACACGAGAAGTCAGCGTGGCAGCCAGCCTATGTGGAGAAGGGAAAATTTGGTCCGTGTCCGCAGCATGTCGCTGCAGTCCAACCGAACAACATTGTGGAAGACCCGGCAGCCACCCAAACATCACGTGAGGGAGATCAGGTGGCCGCCGTCCAGCCGCGAAGCAACAACGACTCCCGTAGCAAAGGGAAGGCGAAAACAACATCTCCGACAGGAAACGGACAGCAAGTACCATGACCGAGGCTGAATACAAGTGGTGCAGCCGGTATGGCTGCTGCTATTGGTGCAACAACACCAAGCACAAGACCTCCCAATACCCGAATCAAGGCAAGGAGGATGTTCGACCTAGCATCAACTCGGGAAACTGAGTTGCACGGGAGGTGAGGTGACTCTACCTCACTCCGCCAGATTCGGCCGCCTTGCTAGCAGCCTCCTACACATCTGGGGAGAATGCGGATGTCGCGAGTCCTCGGTTCACTTACGAGGATTACGCTGTCCACTTGGTCCCACCGTTGGACCAGCCACACCACGTGCAACAATCCACCGCATGCACGGTTTCACCACCATCGACAACCGATTCGGCAGTTTCGCCGCCAAATTTCGTCGGGGATTCGACGTCATGGTCAAGACTTGAAGAGCTCGACCCGTTGACGTTCGCGGACTTCCAATGGATGCCCCTTCCCCCGACCGGTTGATTGCTGATCCGCATTGCAACGTGCTCATGGCACAATTGCGGGATTACTTGCACACTGCGGTACCAGCTTTGTTGATGGACACCGGAGTAGAGGTTGTTGACCTTCACGACTACGTTGCGAAGATCGACCGTGGGTTCAAGACACAACGGTACGACGACATCGACGCGCCATTGTTGTACATATGCATTCAGATCGGAGAGGCGACCTGCAGCGCTTTGATCGATTGCGGCGCTACTCGCAACAATATGAGCCAACACTTCGTGGTACGCGTTGGCCTTGGGCCACGCGTTCGGACGAAGTCGCAGCCCACTCCAGTCACGTTGGCCGACAGTCACACGCACAAGTCCATCGACCGGTGCATTGATTCTGTCCCTGTGTACTTTGCCCCGCATGCAAGCGAGGTCGTGTCCTTCGACATTCTGGACACCAACAGATTTGCAAGCATCTATACCGTTGATCTACGCCGACTACGAGCGATGAAGACTAGCTAAGGAAGCTTCACAAACCTGCCCCTCCCACCCGGACTTTGGTCTCTCCCTCTGACAGGCAGCTTCGCCCTCGCAGGTGAGCTCAGTCTTTCAAGGAGGGGGGGGGGTGGCATATTGGGTATCCACGCGGACCTGCAGGGCCCGACCAGACGGAAAATCAGGGCCCTACAGGCCCCGTGTCGTTTCAGCCTGAAAGCCTGAAAACAAGGGCCTACAGGCCCTGTGTTGTTTCAGCCTAAAAGCCTGAAAACAAGGGCCTACATGCCTGTGTCGTTTCAGCCTAAAAAAGGGCCCTCCAGGCCCTGAGTCTTTTCAGCCTGAAACGGAGGGCCATTTTCAGGCCCTCATAAGATCGACCTGCCCTGAAACTTAGGCACCAGACCAGGGTTTTAGCACAGGCCATTTTGGGCCTGTTTTCAAGACAACCTTTGTTTGAACTTCAACGCCAGGGTCTGGCA